ATAAGTGAATAAAATAATGATGTAAGCCATTAGAATATAAATGGTTTATTTTGAAATTTCTATCAGTTATAATTTCTGAAAAGTCCTTAACTGAAAGAGTCATATGTAAGTAAAACAGCTTAAAATGACCAGGACAGACATAAAGAGAAGGTTTGGGTGTTAGCAGAATCTAATTATTGAAAAATGAATGAGTGAATACAATAATTATGAAAGCTATTAGAATATAAATGGTGTTATTTTGAAAATTCTATCATTACAATTTCTAAAAAAGTCCTTAACTGAGTCATATGTAAGCAAAACAGCTTAAAATGACCAGGACAGACATAAAGAAAAGGTTTGATTGTAAGCAGAATCTCATTAGGAGCTTTTTTCACTGCTGATGAGTGAATTTACTGAGGCACAGATCACCAAAGATGTATAGCTGCTCTTAAACCACATGAAGCTTCTTGAATCGATTTGCTTTTGTGCAACCAGTGGAACTTATTTACCTGTCCCCCTTTCCGGCTTCCAAAGCACCTTTAAAACTCACGACGAAATATAGTGGAAACGCCATTTCAATAAACCAATCTAGAGTAAATCAGTTTCCCCGTAGGAGAAAGGACATTTTGATTTACGCGTAATGAGTTCTTTGAGGTGCATGTGGTGTGGTTAAAATGATGATGAGCCATTACTGTACATTTGAAAGCGCAGAAATAGTCACACGTAAATACACAGCGGACCACGGAGTGCTTATAGACGGCCACATAAAATAAAAACACACAATCATTCAACCCCTGCTTGGCTGTTTCCATATTTATGACCCTTTCTCCATTTTGGACTTTTTTTGTTGTTGTTGTTTTTTTGCAATTTCAAGGGTCGTTTCCCTGGTGAGCAGAAAAATCATTACTTCACTTTTAAATTACTCCCAGCTGAGATAGTTCTTATATGATTAGACTTTTTTTTTATGTGTATGAATGGATATGTGGAAAAACAGAAGTTAGAGGGAAAATGACACAAATGGGAGTTGGTGACTACCTTTGTATTTGCTGCACTGCGTTGTTCAATACCGGGGCTGGTAATGGAACAAAAATCTTTCTGCATAGCTAGCTTAGCTATTGATCTTTCTGTCAGTTTTGTCTATTAAAGGCGCAAACAAGTTGTCACAGCAGGGATAGAAGTTAATGCCTTTAAACATACAATCCTACATGTTTATGTATCTTTCTTTGAGTATAAGGTGAGGTCTATAAAGGCTAAAAGGGCTCTATGTAAGTTAAGCCAGATTCATTATTCAAACCTACTCTATGCTTTATTCAAAAATTTATCAAATAACTACAAAATTACCACATCGCAATTTGTGGTTATTTCTAACACATACATTCCAATTATCTTTTGGATCCATTTTTAAAATTATCTAAATATTTTACTTGTCTTATAGGTGATGATGACATCTCATCAAAGAGGTTATAAAACAAACCATTAGACTTTGTTTCCAAGTTTATTGGAACGCTCAACGCTATTTCTGACATTTGAATTGAAAAATCTTCCCAGATGGGAAGCGAAATGTCATTAAAATCCAGTGGATTGTTTTGTAACTTTTTTGGAATGACTATAACCTGGATGACTGAGGATCTTCACCAGTATATCTCATTAAAGAGAACATTGGAATAAAGTTCTTGAACAAACCAGGAACCATCAAGAATTAAATCTGCTGTCAACTAAGAATTAAGTCTATCAGCCAAGCATGGGGGTGGCAGCATAATGATGTGTAATAGTGGACAGTCCGCTTTCCTCTCCATTCCAGGCAGCAAACCATTGCACTAAGTGCAGACAGCAAAGGCATGTTTGATCAAGCCTTCGTTAGATCAAGTTTTTTCTCTGCATGATTAAAATCCCTAATAAATACTGATTAATTGCCAAAATCCAACTTTCCTAATTCAACACAAAAACCATAGTTGCAATAAAAGCCTAAATCATAAACCTTCATGTCTATCAGAACCCTAAAAAAACTTGCATATTGATTTAAAAAAAGCAAAAACAAAAAAAGATTAAATATACTTAATGAGCTACATATCATAAATATTTGTTAAGTTCAAGTTCTTTATGAAAGATGAGAAGATATGTGAAGCTTAAGTTGTTTTTTTATTGAGAAAAGCAACAAGCTGGTTAAATACAAACACACTCAATTAGAGCATTATGATAATGAAAACATTTAAGTATTTGAGACTTTATCCAACACAAGACAGATCTAAGCATTACAGCCTCGTTTAGATTATTGTTAACCAGATTGTCTATAGTGAGCTCCTGTTTTGCTGCGCAAAGTAGCTGCATGACTTCCCCACGTGTCTAAATGTAGAAACCCTTCCCCAAAGAGCCTCATGCTCCTCATGGACCCAGAAAAATAAAGCCCATCAGAGACACTGGGCATTCTGCAACCCAGAACTTAATTAAGCAGCATTCATTAGTGCCTGCATTTAAAAATAGCGGATCCAACTGTGTTTGTAGCTGTTTATCTTTGAGACCATGTGTTTATGGCAATCTAAGCATATTTTATGTCTTTTATGTGAGTGTGTGTGTACGAGAGACCATGACCCTGTTTTGGCAGTCTTTTGTAGTTAGCTAATGATGGAGCTTTTTAACAGTAAATGTATCTGCAAGAGCCTTGATCTGGATTAGAAAACAGCTTTAATGAAAAGAAAGTGGGACAGAGGCACACTTATAAAAAACAACAAACATGAATGTGGACAAATATACACAAACACAACCTTCTCATTGGACAGAAACACTCATTTCACACAAACAAATGCAATGATTCTGCAGTTCATCTGGGTAAATTACCAGCAAAGCAAATGAAAACAAAGTCATTGGAACAGATAAGGACCAAGAGCTTATTTCAGATTAAAAAAAAAAAACAGCTTTAAAATTTCTGACAGTAATCAATCTGAACCTTTTTTCTAAATCTAAATTTAAATAGTTTTTCATTGAAGCATGCAGAAAATAGGTCACTGACCTGCTGCTAAAGGTCTGTTTGCCTTGAGCTCGTTTCATCCCAGTAGGCCCCTCCACATCAGGACTGGCTGCCTGCGCACACACAGAAACAAACAGCACATCTTCATTATTACTCAGCCACTGATTGGTGATTTTTCAATACTTAACAATAGGCAGAAATCAAAAAAGAGGGAAAAATGCTAATATTAGGAATAATGTCTGAATTAATAAAACAAGTAAGCAAAAATAACAATCAAAGAACCTCCAATGTTTTGATTTTAACCTTAATGAACTCCATTTGAAATCGAGGACCCAAATGCTCGATTCTTACAAAAAAAAAGTGACTGGAACACAAAAGGGAAAGAAAAATATAAATATGTGTAATGATGAGAGGAGAAGATGCTAATTTGAGCAACAGATGAAGTACCAATTAATTTTTGAAGGCAAGCAGACGGTCTTGTTAAGCAGCAATGTTTTAGTGGGCATGACAACCAAATGAAAAAGGTATTTTTCCTCAGCATACCATGGATACTGAAACCAAACACAGCAAGTCTAAAGTAAATCTAAGGTATGTTTCTATTATTTGCTTAATAACTTAGAAAGTACTTTAAGTATTACTTTAAAGTTAATTTTAAATAAAACACAAACAAAAATAAATCATTTTGATAGATTAAACATACGTGTTATGGCTTAATTTCTGTTGATTTTGATGACTAAGGCTTATTGCTGAATGGGGACCCAAGATTCATATAATCAGTTAATTCAAATAGTACATAAGTACGTAAGTACCACTGAATGTGATTTTTTTACACCAGAAATGTCCTGTTCTGACCTATGCAGTCATTAGGAAGGCTGCCGACTTGAAGTTTTTCATTCAACAGTCAACCATAACCTACATTATACTATCAGCCTCAGAAATATTGCTAAAAACACTGACTGGTCAGAGAGTTTTGTATCTAAGGATCTAAATGAAATGTTGGATGGAATAAAAGGTGTGTTTGGGGAAGGTACACAAGCAACAGTTATGGTGCCCTTATTCTTAAGATTGTAAAATAAAGTCTGTACATCCAGAAATCACATTCTGCCTGTGGAGATTTACTCTCTCTAGAAAACTACAACAGCCTTAAACCAAAGATGACTGGATTTCCACTCAGTTTTCAAAACACAGTTCAGTACCAATCTTTGTCAGTTCTGGATGTCTGCAGTTCAACATCCTGATGAGATCACATCCAAACTCCAGGTTGCTCAAATGTAAGCCATCAAAAGTGATATTAAATCCTTGATAGAAGGCAAAACCAATTCATAAGAGTGGGAGAAGTTCTGGTTGCTTTCGATTTACGCTTGCCGTTACTTTTACATTCCTTATTTTAAGCTACTACAGAAGAAGAAATGACGACTGAAGGATCTTATTTGGTTCAAGGGGTAAGAAGACTAGACTATAAAAAGTCCAATGTTTTCTTTTTAACAAAAAAACCCCAAAACATTCTATATTTAATATGGAAATCATTATCCTGGAGTACAAAGAAGAGTGCCTTAAAGTCCCCTATGGCAGGCCGTTTTGACATTTATTAAAAGAGATTTCTTCTCTGTTGTTCCATTTGTAGATCACTAAAATAAGATTCTTCCTGGTAAAAACCTTTTCCATAATAAGAGATGTTGTAATTTTTATTTTCTCAGCAGAAACTCAATTTCAGACTGTAAAAAAACAAAACAAAATAGTATATAATAATATTATATATACACAATAGTATAAAACATATAACCTATGTATGTATAACCTAATAAAAATTAGGTTTTATATACCTAGAAGCTGGTAAAGATTCCCAGTCATCCAAGTCATCGTAACATCAAACAGTTAAAAAACAATGCACTGGACTTTGTCCACAAGTTTGAAGATGTTTCGCTTCCCATCCAGGAAACTTTTTCATTTCAAAATGTCAGAAATAGGGTTGAGTTTGAGGTTTTAAAAGCCTCAAACTTAACGAATATATACATAGAAATATTTAGATATTTTAAGTGACCGTTCTATTTCCAGAACTCCAGAAGCATTAATGTAAATATGAAGAATGTTATTTTGTTTGAAATGTTCATTTTAGCAAAAAAAGAAAAATGTATTTTAGACATCAGGGACAAATATTCAAACAAACTATTGTAATTAGCTATTTTTATGTACTGTATTTAATGTAATGTATTTTAATTTAGTGGAGTATTGTATTAAATTTCAGCGCAATCTCACAGGGAAGAAGCGCACCTGAAAACAGGTGAAGATAAACTCTCTTAATTTCCGTTAGTATTTACACAGTGAATACTAAGTGGCTGTTTCACTGTGCTGTTTTTTCAATAATGCTGTTATCACACATCAACCTTCTCTTCCTGCTATCAAGTTCTGTTAAAGATCTGCTAAAGAAGTAATGCTGCTAATGTGACGGATAAGCTCTGGATGTATGTGATGGGCTGTAACGGTAGCGCTCATAAAGCTATTTTTCTGAATATAAAGCACAATTATACATGGTCTGAGAACCCTCTCCCTATAGATATTTAATTTTCTGTGAATTAATGTCATTCATTCTTTAATTAGATCCTCATCTAAAGGACATGCAATATTTGTTTTTAACACCTAATATGTCTAACGGACCTAGTGACAGATTTTTTTATTGTTCACACAAAACTACGTCAAAAACCTACTGACTAGATCAGGAAATAAAACGACCGACTGACTTTAAGAACAGCGGAGACAAGTGCCGTTTGTCAATATGTGTACTTGTGCGTTCTCATTTGCTCGTGAAACATCATCAGCCTCAGTCCTAGTTCTGTTCCAATTCACAAGAACAGCAGACTGAGAACGGACAAAGTCCCCAAATGTTGTTCTCGCCCCTCCCTATTTACCCAGCATGCATCAGAGCAGACTTGTCCGTTCTTGAGATTGACAGCAGCAGAATGCACTGTGGCAGCGGCAGCTTTCAATAGAGCGCTCCATTGAAAGTTAAAAGTTCTCTTTTCTGTTGTTGTTGTTCAATAAAAGTACCTTTTTAAGATCATTTGAGGCGAGAATATTGTACTTTAAAGCGTCCCATATGGTCTATTTACTGATTTAGTGCATAATTTACATAAAAATATCCAAATCTGAGAGAACCACGGCAACCAGCGGACCTCCGAGGCTAACCGCAGCCCGTCTGCAGCGGCCCTCTCTCGGCATAGCCGTGTGTGAAGGATTGCTGGCTCTGATGGCGATTTTTCTGTTTTATCTGGCAAAATGTTCATTTAATTTATTTGAATGTGTTAATTATTATTCCCGCCTCTAAATAAAAAAAAAAGTAATAATTTATACTTACATAGAGACTATTAATAAAAGGAGGTGAAATGCAGCTCTAGACGAGCCAGTTAGTGGTGATGTCAGGAGTACACTTCTTTCCAATTGACCCATATTTATTCTGCATGCTCCCGTTCTCCCCAAGTCCATACTTTCCTGTGTTCTTCTCAACAACATACTTGGCGAGGACACAAGTCCGTATTGGCATTGTAGAGAATGGAGAAACGGCAAAGGTTTACTGAACAAAACCTGCTCCTGACCAGGTTAATTCTGGGGAGAATATTGCTATGGTAACAGAAACAGAGATTGGGTAAACTTTCTATGTGAAACGGAAAACTCAGAGTTTCCCTGATTTCAGGTTTAGGAAACGTAGCTTTTAGTAAACCTGCTTTGAGAAACAGACCCCTAAATGCTAATAACTTCAGACAGAAGGGTTGATTTAAAAAATCTGTTCCTCCTTACCCATTGCCAGAGCAGCAGGGTGCTGCATTTATTCAGTATTTCAAGCGAACAAAGCCGTGGCCAAGTATTGATGGCCTATACTTTACATTACATAGAATCCCTTTTAAATAGGTCATCTGTACTAAATCATATCTGTAAATTTTCCCTTTTTATTTAGTTATCAAAATAAACAAGCTGCCTTTTTTATTCCAATATACCTAAATCCACTTTTCTTGTCTATTGTCTATTTAGTTTTTTTCAAATCTCTAAAAACATGGAATAATTTGCACATCTGTAGTAAAGCAAAATTAGAATTTTGAATTGGTCTTAATATGAATAAAATTCATATAAACTGTCATATCTTGTTTATTTTAATATTATGGAAAAGTTCATTTATCTCAAGAAGTTTTAAAGCCTTTTTTTCCAATAAATATGAAAACTAATTTAAGATCGGAACATTATTATATAAAAGTTTTGAGGTTGAAATAGGGGATCAGTGAATAGTGTGGTTAATAGTTATTTTTTAAAGGTACTTTAATCCAGACAAATACTTTGCCAGAACACAATTTCAAACTTATTGAATATGACTGTATATTAATTTTAATATGACAGAGCAGAGCTTAGAATTCAAAAGACACTTTAGTTTGGTAGCTGAAGAACCTCTGCCACTGTAGAAAATGAACATCCTGTAATTCAAAAGAAAATGAAGTTCATATTAGCAGTTAAGGATTTAGACATTAGTGAATATGCAGCTATCGCACAGGGGCATTTTGGAGTGGGCGGACACGCCGTCCACACATTTGTGTAAACATATGGAGGCCAGCTAACAGGTCAATAAGGTTCTGTGTTAGTAGATGGCCCTAATGGATTCAAAACATGACCTTCAACCTTTTACCCCCACCATCCTATCCACCCATATGAGCCACTCTAACTGCTTCAGAGGAAAGGAGGCGGAGAAAGAAAAAAAGGAAACTTAAAGCTAAAGAATTAAAGATGAAAAGGAGAACAACATGGGAATCAAAAACCCAGCAGGCGGTGTAAAGAGATGTAGGAGGGTAAGAAGAAACCTAACAGACCGGCTGCCAATACAGTAAACAGATGTTAAAGCTTTAGTGACTTGGAAATTAATTGGTCTGGTCTGGTTTTTAATGCTGTCATTTGAGCTTAATTAGTTAGAATATGACAGGTGACATTAATTATCCCAACCCCACTGTCATGACAGTCGCTCATACATTAATTGCAGTGCTACTGTTGCTTAATTGTATGTCTCATTTAATAAATGAATGCAGGAATATTTTCTCTGCATCATTCTCTTTATGAAAGAACAACATATTAATTACAA